CTCATTTTTCATCCATAAAAATGAAAAATATGATCGTTATCCATCACATCAAGCTATCAATTTTAAATTTTTATCTCTAGTGTGGGGCCCAATAACGACTATATTTTTCATTCTCATTCTACAATAATGAGAATCAAACAAGCCCTTAAGCTACATGAGAACGATGTCAAATCAACAGTTGAATACGATTAAAGAATTTCATCTTTCTCGTACACTTCCACACAAGCTTTGATATGTATTCAGAAAATAATATAAAACAAGTGGAACCAGTAAAAAGTTTCTAAATAAAAATATCCTAGCGGCCTCTCAAATTGTAAGAGCTCAAAGTCACTTGCATCGCTCACCTTAGCCACCAAAGGCTCCAACTTTGAGATATCGAACTTGTACTCTTGAAGGAATCTAACATAAAATGAAATAATATTTAATGAGCAACGATATTGGGTTAGTGAAAAACAATGAATGATGGCTGACTATTGGAATGAAATGCAAATTATAATATTTGATATATATCTTGAAATAAGGAAAAGAAAATATAATTTCAGAAGACAATAGAAGTTTTCTTACTGTTAAGACTTCAATCGAATCTGAAGGTGATGAATAATGTAGGAAGAACAAGGATATAGTTCTCAAACTAAGCGTAAATACAACTCTAATCAATTCATCAACCTTACGACAAACAGTCGAACACTATTATCACTTCCTGACTGCACCAAACGTATAGTTCTATAAAATAATGAATGAAGCCCAGCACTTTGGATTTAAAATGTCGTGGCAAGTTTAATAACATAAATGGATCAAAAAGATTTATCATAGGTACATCACTCATATGTAGATTAGACATTTTAGCATGACAGAAGCTGCCAATGGTGGTTGGCATTTTAGTTGTAATTGTATAATGACCCATGATAAGTCAAGCATATCTTATTGCATCCTAGTTGGCTTCAAGTAGAAAGTTTCAGCCACAAATATAACGATCAAATTTGGCACTAGATTTAAAAGAGAAAAAAAAAAAAGAATTGAATTGGAAGGTACTACCATAAGATGTGGAAAAACCTCCTAAAGAGTTGAATAAGCAATTACTAGGATGAGAAACTCAGATTCTAAACTACCTTGCTTGTCCATCACTATAAACGGGCTCATATGGCAAAGTGGTCTTGTCCTGACACACAAAATGAATATATGGTAAGCCAAAAATTATTTTCCTAGGCATATGTATGAG